CACATCACTATATTTATGAACATTTTATTACACATCACTATATTTATATACATTTTATAACACATCACTATATTTATATACATTTTATTAAACATCACTATATTTATATACATTTTATTAAACATCACTATATTTATATACGTTTTATTACACATCACTATATTTGTATACATTTTATTACACATCACTATATTTGTATACATTTTATTACACATCACTATATTTGTATACATTTTATTACACCACTGTATTTATAAACATTTTATTACACCACTGTATTTATAAACATTTTATTACACATCACTATATTTATATACATTTTATTACACCACTGTATTTATATACATTTTATTACACCACTGTATTTATAAACATTTTATTACACCACTGTATTTATATACATTTTATTACACCACTGTATTTATATACATTTTAATACACACCACTATATTTGTATACATTTTATTACACACCACTATATTTGTATACATTTTATTACACACCACTATATTTGTAAACATTTTATTACACACCACTATATTTGTATACATTTTATAACTACTGTTGTTGTTGTTGTCTGTAGGCTGGGCCCCGTCAACCTTTGTGTCTTCGCGGCAGCAGAAAGCTGAGAAGCATCATGCCCGACCAGAAGACTTCATGGACGAGGAGGTGAAGAGTTACACTGACAAACAGCTCTGTTGATGCAGGTCCAGAGGGACTGACTGTTGTTGTTGTTGTCAGGACCTCGGTGAGCACGGCATCGCTCCCTCAGAGATCAGCACCAGACAGGAGTTCACCTCCAGTCGCAGAGACGCCATCAGAGAAAAGGCGAAAGCCGTCAACGCTCAGTCAGCAACGATACCTGGAGACACTCTGCTGGAGGAGCTGATCGCACCGACCAGGTAACATATCACACCTGTTACCCGTAGACCAGGTAACATATCCCACCTGTTACCCGTAGACCAAGTAACATATCACACCTGTTACCCGTAGACCAAGTAACATATCACACCTGTTACCCGTAGACCAGGTAACATGTCACACCTGTTACCCGTAGACCAGGAAACATGTCACACCTGTTACCAGTGGACCAGGAAACATGTCACACCTGTTACCAGTGGACCAGGTAACATGTCACACCTGTTACCAGTGGACCAGGTAACATGTCACACCTGTTACCAGTGGACTAGGTAACATATCACACCTGTCACCAGTGGACCAGGTAACATATCACACCTGTCACCAGTGGACCAGGTAACATATCACACCTGTTACCAGTGGACCAGGTAACATATCACACCTGTTACCAGTGGACCAGGTAACATATCACACCTGTTACCCGCGTTACTATCTGATCAGCACAGTAAATTAATCTGTCCTGAGGTGCGTTTGTTTCGTCCTTCAGGTCATCCATCGGGGTGGAGCTTCTGAAGAGGATGGGATGGAAGGAGGGTCAGGGTGTCGGACCTCATGTGAAGAGGAAAGCTGGTCAACAGCAGACGGGTACGTCTGAGGGTTCTGTAGCGTGAACGCATCCCGCCCCGGGGAAAGTGGGGAAGGCTTGCGCACCTAACACGGCGGTCACGCCGTTGGCTGTCCCACCTGCGAGGATTAGGTTCCTCTTGGAGGTGTCGGAACAATACCTTCGGCCTTTTCTCTCACCACGTAGCTGAGTCGTTAGGATTTCGGAATTATTGTCTTTCTGAGAGTCGGAATTATTGTCTTTCTGAGAGTCTTGTACGGCTACGCCCGAGGCGCTCTCGGTAGGATGTAACCCTAACACCCTATATGAATAGTTATGTAGAACGTCTGTACTTTACTATTGCCTATTGTGAACTTCTCACCATTTATGACGAACACTGCCAAGTCTTCACCCAGGGTACTCACCTTTAAGCTCCTCTGGTAGAGTCAGTCGTCACATCTGATCACACGGTTAACGGACAGGGGAAGAGGGGTACATTGTTCTAAAGGACCAGAGTACTTTGTTTGGTTTCAGCTACTTATAAATGGTAAAGCCGTGGTTTTATTCAAGTTTTTCACACAACAGTCACATGCAACAATTTCAATTCAATGAAACAGTCTCAGTGCCACAAGAATTAATTCAACACTCTCACTGTAATGGGTTTTTCTATTCAGTTTTCGCTGATTTGCTTTAGAAATCTAGTCCAGTTTATGCTCTGGATGGTCTCCCCACCTCTCTCTCTCTCTCTAACAGTCCTGCTGTTTTCAGACTTTCTCAGTCAGCTCTCGCTGTGAGCTTTTTCTATTTCCTTTTTTTCATGCTGTCCTCTGATACCAGACACGTCTTCTAGTCCCCCTCAGAGTGGGTAAGACAGCAGAAGGGTCTTCTAGTCCCCCTCAGAGTGGGTAAGACAGCAGAAGGGTCTTCTAGTCCCCCTCAGAGGGGGTAAGACAGCAGAAGGGTCTTCTAGTCCCCCTCAGAGGGGGTAAGACAGCAGAAGGGTCTTCTAGTCCCCCTCAGACTGGTAACTGGTTTGATCCTGTTCAGAAGAGGAAGGATTACAGTATACAAGTCTTGAGTGACAATTTTGTATAAGGCGTCTATGCAGTTTATATGTTCAATCACGTCCATCAAACAATAAAACAGTTTATATGTTCAATGGTTATACTTTTTAAATCAAAAAGGTTGCATGTTACAATAGTTATACTTTTATGCTTTCATACTGTTCTACGATCTCTTAACCGTTCACGTCCAGTTTACAGCTGTATGAACACAAACAAACTTTAGATGTGATTTAACTGCAATAAACAGACATGAAAGATGCAGAAATAACTACATAATGATGCAGATTTGTAAAAAGTCTGAATTCATGTCTCCTCAATACGACAAGTAAATCATTTTTAAAATACTTTCTAAATGGAGTTTGGTTCTATCGATGCTATGCTAAGTTAAGATTGTAGCAGCTTAACATAAATACATCAGCGTTATTGTTTGTACCATCTGGTTCATACTCATATATTTATACTCATAGTTTCATCAGGTCTGTGTACTAATATGAGGTATCGTAGAACTCTAGGGGGACACACTAGTTGTGTTATTTCCTGTTTTCTACATTGCTGAAGGTGTTGTTGAAGACATCTCACTGATGCTCAGGATGAGTTCTACACAGATTCACATTTCATTTATGAACTTGTTTTCATCTGTCAGGTTTCTCTTCTTTCTCTACAGACAGAAGAAGTCGACTGTACGGATCTGTGCTGCCCCCTGCTGGATCAGAGGACTCACAGGGGGTGAGACAGCTGGAGGACAGACACATTCAGACAGACACATTCAGATACAGTCAGACAATTATTATTATGTTTGTTATTTCGTCCATAACTTCTTCAAACGTCTACTAACAGTCCTAAATGTTAAACTACTGTTGTCCTCTTCATCCAGTCTGTCAAACACTAACATCAATAACAACAATAAATAATATTTATCATCTTAATAGATATTTAGATTCATTTGATGTAACATCTTCATCCTTTTAATCAGGATGATGATGATGATGAGTTCGCTCCAGAGGACGTGATGTTTGCCCCAAAGGATGTGACTCCGGTGGACTTCAACCCCAGGCTGGGGGTCCAGGGTCTGGGGTACCGCGGTCTGGACCCAGGTCTGGCTCTGATGGGCCGCGGAGCCCCTGAACACCTGGACCTGTTCAGACCTCAGTCCGAGACCAGGAGCCGTCTGTTCGGAGACAAGAGAGGCTCCAAGAGAGGAGGCGTGGCCGGACAGGTTGGGAGCTCTGCCTACTACAACCAGGTTCTATTAGCAGAGACTCACTGACTCTGACGATGATGTCACCTTTCACCTGCAGGCGTTTGGGGTGGGGGCCCTGGAGGATGATGATGATGAAGAGGTCTACCACAGAGACTCCATGTCCAGATACGACACGGTCCTGGGGGGGGAGGAGCCTGGAGACGGACTGTTCGGCTGGACTGCTCCGCAGCAGTACACCAAGAAAAGAGGTAAAACTGGGGGGTCCAGGGAGGTCCAGGAGAGTGCCCCTAGTGGACACCAGGAGCATAACATGTATTATTTTATGTTGACAGACAAAAGCAAAGATGCATTTTACATCGGTAAGATCCTGGAGGGATTCACTTTGGCCCAAAACCCATCTGAGGACAAACCGGTGAGCATCCTGAAGTCTGAAGACAAAGTCTCCATCTGAACCTGAACAATCTTCACTGATCTGATCCTCTGTCCCTCTGCAGGTCTTCCCCTCCCCCCCTCTGCCCAGAGACTACCGTCCCGTCCATCGGTTCCGTCCGTCCCTCGATGCCTCGGGTCTCTCGGGGGTCAGTCCTGCACTGGCCGAGGCTCTGAGGGTCTCCAGGGGCCACATGGTCCCAGAGGAGCCCCAACATGGGGGACGCCACCAGCTGGACTCTGGTCAGAGGAGGACGCTGCTGGGAGAAGACGCCCTGCAAGGTAGAGATTTACATCCTCCATGTGAGCTCTAAACTAATACTGAGGTTAAGTTTATCCTCCATGTAAGCTCTCAACTAATACTGAGGTTAAGTTTATCCTCCATGTGAGCTCTAAACTAA